ACACACACACACACACACACACACACACACACACACACACACACACACACACACACACGCGCGCGCGCGCGCGCGTACAGTACAGCGCGGGATGGTCAGGAACGGCAGCAGAGAGACAGTCATAAAGCAGGCAGGATCATGTCAGCAGCACTATCTGCAGCGCGACCTCGCCTGCCATTGTCGTTGACCACGGAAAGTCTGGAAAGTTAGTCCCGCGTGCACCGCAAAATTTTTATCTCATCGAATTTTCTAAATTTGGTCCTATGTCTGTTTTGTTGGGTTGGTTCCTCCTCTGCTGATTTGGTTGTTTCTGGACGCAGAGGAAACGCCTTGAGACCAAGAGATTTAGGAGGGAAAATACCAGGTGGCTGATTAACCCCGCGCACTTCTGTAGTTAGACTGTACCGCAAGCACGGAGTGCGGGCGGGTTGCCTACTCGCCCGGCCCGTAAGGCGGCGTCGACAGGGGCGATAGGCAAGCCCACCCGCACTCCTGCGTGGGGCACAGTCTAACTACAGAAGTGCGCGGGGTTAATCAACCACCTGGTACAGGAATTACTGAGTCGTAAGCCCTTATTAGAGTTGAAGAAGATTTGTGTACAGATTTCAATTTCCCCTTTCGTGACAGTGGTTTCCAGTGGTTTCTCTTCGCCTTCGCGAATGTGGGTTGTTGTCGAGATGACCAGGAACAGATTTTCAACGCTGCGTCCCTTCTTTAACGATCTTTTCCCCAACCTAACAAGAACAGGGAACAGGGATTCGAGCGATATCAAGGAACGTTTCTCCTCCCTGTAGCGCTCGCACGACTTCCTACTCCTCCCTCGTCGTCGACGAGGTAGCGTCCGAGGCCTGTTTAGGCGAGTGCTGGCCCTCGCCGCCGCCATCCGGGAGACACATGACAACGGCAGCGTCTTGGACCTCTCTGGCGGCGTTCGCTGCCTCCTGCGCCGAAGCCTGAGCCGCCCGAGCGATCTGTCGCGCTGCCCGGGCCGAGGCCGTGGAGTGCCTCGCCGCGGCCTCGCCGCCTTGGGGGTCCGCCTTGGCCGCGGCGACGGCCCTATCGCGGGCAGCCTCAGCGACCTGGGCCTGGAGCGCTGCGTCTTGAGCGGCAGACTCGGCTTCGTCGGACCTGCTCAGGGCTTCGGCGGCAGCCTTCACCACCCGGTCGACGCTCTCCGCGTTGGCGCCTCGCCCGTCGTACAGACACGAGCCCGCCACGCCCCGCCGCAGCTCCAGGATCCTGCGCCGCGCCGCGTCGACCCGCGCCTGGTCCTGTGCCGCGGCCTGCTTGGCCACGACCGCCTCCGCCGCGGCGGCCGCGGCCTCCTGCGCCGCCGCGGACGAACGTCGCGGTAGGCACACGGCTCGCTCGAGCTCCTGGGCGGTGTTGGCATCCCTCGCGGCGCTCTCGGCGGCCTGAGACGCACGCTTGACGGCGCCCTGGGCGCGCTCCACGCTCGCCTTCGACAGGCGGCTCGCAGGTGGGGGCGTCGCCTCCGCGCGCAGCTCGGCACGGAGGCGCTCCGCGTCGCGTAGCGCTTTCAGGGCGTCGTCAGCTGCTTGCCGGGACGCGTCCGCCGACCGCCTTGCGCGCTGTGCCGCGCTGGAGACGGACGAGGTCTCGGACCCGGGCCGCGCGAGGCACACCGCGTCCTCGGCGCTCTGCGCGGCTGCGTGCGCCTGCTGCGCGGCGCCCTGGGCCATTTCCGCGTCCTTCTCGGCCTGGCGCCCCGACTCGGCCGCCCTGATGGCCGTGGAGGCCGCCTGGCAGGCCAGCGACCCTCCCCCGCGCGACAGCTGCAGCACGCGGGCAGCGTCCCGCGCCTGCTCGGCCTCCTTGCTGGCGTCCTTGGCGCTCTGCATCGCAGACATGGCTGACCCCAGCGCCCGCGCCATGGCCTGCTCCGCAGCGTCGCGCGTCTGTCGGAAGGAGCCGCGTCAGTCACCGGTCTCCTGAGAGCCCCGAGGAAGCGCCCCGCCTTGAGCTGACCTGATCGGTGGCCTGTCTCGCAGCCTCCGTGGCCCGCGAGGACTCCTCGCCCGCCAGCTTGGCCTCGCGGCGGGCGAGCTCTGCCTGGTCCTCGGCCCTCTTGGCGTCCTCCTGGACCGAGTCGCGCTCCGCCGAGGCCTCGGACAGGCGGCGAAGCGCTGCGGACGAGGCCTCTGATGCCCTCCGCCTGGCCTCGTCGGCGCGGTGGGCGTGCATGTCAGCCTTGGCGGCGCTTGTGCGGGCCGACCGGACCCACTCCCCGTCCGTCGAGTTGGTCGAGTCCCGGTACGTGGCGCCGATGGCGCACGGCCCGCACGGCTCCCTGAGGTTACGGACGATGTCGCATTTCAGCGGTGTTCCTGACACCAGTGCCTCTAGAACTGCCCGCGGGATCATATCAGAGCGCCGCAAAAATGACAAATTAGGCAGGCCTTCTGCGCCCTGATCGGTTCACGCCGGTTCGTCATCCTGGCGCCGGTACAGGCCCAAGGGCCAATCCTTATTTGCCATTTTAAAGCGCTATGATGGTACAGTACAACTGGACACTTCCAGGTTGGGATTGACCGTTTTCAAAACTCTTGAAATCAGATAAGTATGCAAATACGTGCAAATAGGCCTGCACGTCGATAGGCGGACCCTTACAGAGCTTTGGGTGTCTCCGCAGCAGCCGCCTGTCTCTCCCTCTCCAGCCTCGCCGCCTCCTCCTCTTGGACCCGCCTCCGTCTGCCCGCCTCCTCGGCTTCCTCGGCCTCCTGTCGCCTCCTGGCCTCGGCCGCCTCACTGCTCTGCCTTCTGCGGGCGGCCTCCTCTGCCGACGCCCTCCTTCGTGCGGCCTCCGCCTCCTCTGCCTCCGCCCTCCTACGTGCCGCCTCCGCCTCCACATTCAACGCCTCCTGCACCTCGTCTTCATCGCTGGCCTCGATTGCGAGCGATGAGCGCTGCTGCACCTCTTCGACGGCATCCTGAGCCCCGCCTTGCCAGAGGCCCAGCATGTTTCTTCATTACCCAGGAAATGAAATAAACACACTTGTCAAGCGACACACAGGCAGGTGCGGACGGAGGACCACGGACCGCGCCCGCAGTTCCCAAGCGATCCCCCGACAGAGCCCCCCGGCTGCGACGGGGTATGGGAATTACTGAGTCGTAAGCCCTTATTAGAGTTGAAGAAGATTTGTGTACAGATTTTAATTTCCCCTTTCGTGACTGTGGTTTCCAGTTGTTTCTCTTCGCCTTTCGCGAATGTGGGTTGTTGTCGAGATGACCAGGAACAGATTTTCAACCCTACGTCCCTCCTTTAACGATCTTTTACCTTACCTAACAAGAACAGGGAACAGGGATTCGAGCGATATCAAGGAACGTTTCTCCTCCCTGTAGCGCTCGCACGACTTCCTACTCCTCCCTCGTCGTCGACGAGGTAGCGTCCGAGGCCTGTTTAGGCGAGTGCTGGCCCTCGCCGCCGCCATCCGGGAGACACATGACAACGGCAGCGTCTTGGACCTCTCTGGCGGCGTTCGCTGCCTCCTGCGCCGAAGCCTGAGCCGCCCGAGCGATCTGTCGCGCTGCCCGGGCCGAGGCCGTGGAGTGCCTCGCCGCGGCCTCGCCGCCTTGGGGGTCCGCCTTGGCCGCGGCGACGGCCCTATCGCGGGCAGCCTCAGCGACCTGGGCCTGGAGCGCTGCGTCTTGAGCGGCAGACTCGGCTTCGTCGGACCTGCTCAGGGCTTCGGCGGCGGCCTTCACCACCCGGTCGACGCTCTCCGCGTTGGCGCCTCGCCCGTCGTACAGACACGAGCCCCCCCGCCCCGCCGCAGCTCCAGGATCCTGCGCCGCGCCGCGTCGACCCGCGCCTGGTCCTGTGCCGCGGCCTGCTTGGCCACGACCGCCTCCGCCGCGGCGGCCGCGGCCTCCTGCGCCGCCGCGGACGAACGTCGCGGTAGGCACACGGCTCGCTCGAGCTCCTGGGCGGTGTTGGCATCCCTCGCGGCGCTCTCGGCGGCCTGAGACGCACGCTTGACGGCGCCCTGGGCGCGCTCCACGCTCGCCTTCGACAGGCGGCTCGCAGGTGGGGGCGTCGCCTCCGCGCGCAGCTCGGCACGGAGGCGCTCCGCGTCGCGTAGCGCTTTCAGGGCGTCGTCAGCTGCTTGCCGGGACGCGTCCGCCGACCGCCTTGCGCGCTGTGCCGCGCTGGAGACGGACGAGGTCTCGGACCCGGGCCGCGCGAGGCACACCGCGTCCTCGGCGCTCTGCGCGGCTGCGTGCGCCTGCTGCGCGGCGCCCTGGGCCATTTCCGCGTCCTTCTCGGCCTGGCGCCCCGACTCGGCCGCCCTGATGGCCGTGGAGGCCGCCTGGCAGGCCAGCGACCCTCCCCCGCGCGACAGCTGCAGCACGCGGGCAGCGTCCCGCGCCTGCTCGGCCTCCTTGCTGGCGTCCTTGGCGCTCTGCATCGCAGACATGGCTGACCCCAGCGCCCGCGCCATGGCCTGCTCCGCAGCGTCGCGCGTCTGTCGGAAGGAGCCGCGTCAGTCACCGGTCTCCTGAGAGCCCCGAGGAAGCGCCCCGCCTTGAGCTGACCTGATCGTTGGCCTGTCTCGCAGCCTCCGTGGCCCGCGAGGACTCCTCGCCCGCCAGCTTGGCCTCGCGGCGGGCGAGCTCTGCCTGGTCCTCGGCCCTCTTGGCGTCCTCCTGGACCGAGTCGCGCTCCGCCGAGGCCTCGGACAGGCGGCGCAGCGCTGCGGACGAGGCCTCTGACGCCCTCCGCCTGGCCTCGTCGGCGCGGTGGGCGTGCATGTCAGCCTTGGCGGCGCTTGTGCGGGCCGACCGGACCCACTCCCCGTCCGTCGAGTTGGTCGAGTCCCGGTACGTGGCGCCGATGGCGCACGGCCCGCACGGCTCCCTGAGGTTACGGACGATGTCGCATTTCAGCGGTGTTCCTGACACCAGTGCCTCTAGAACTGCCCGCGGGATCATATCAGAGCGCCGCAAAAATGACAAATTAGGCAGGCCTTCTGCGCCCTGATCGGTTCACGCCGGTTCGTCATCCTGGCGCCGGTACAGGCCCAAGGGCCAATCCTTATTTGCCATTTTAAAGCGCTATGATGGTACAGTACAACTGGACACTTCCAGGTTGGGATTGACCGTTTTCAAAACTCTTGAAATCAGATAAGTATGCAAATACGTGCAAATAGGCCTGCACGTCGATAGGCGGACCCTTACAGAGCTTTGGGTGTCTCCGCAGCAGCCGCCTGTCTCTCCCTCTCCAGCCTCGCCGCCTCCTCCTCTTGGACCCGCCTCCGTCTGCCCGCCTCCTCGGCTTCCTCGGCCTCCTGTCGCCTCCTGGCCTCGGCCGCCTCACTGCTCTGCCTTCTGCGGGCGGCCTCCTCTGCCGACGCCCTCCTTCGTGCGGCCTCCGCCTCCTCTGCCTCCGCCCTCCTACGTGCCGCCTCCGCCTCCACATTCAACGCCTCCTGCACCTCGTCTTCATCGCTGGCCTCGATTGCGAGCGCTGAGCGCTGCTGCACGTCTTCGACTGCATCCTGAGCCCCGCCTTGCCAGAGGCCCAGCATGTTTCTTCATTACCCAGGAAATGAAATAAACACACTTGTCAAGCGACACACAGGCAGGTGCGGACGGAGGACCACGGACCGCGCCCGCAGTTCCCAAGCGATCCCCCGACAGAGCCCCCCGGCTGCGACGGGGTATGGGAGGCTGGAAGGCAGGCGCCGCAGCCTCCACCCTGGCCCCGGCCTCCGCTTGCCCGACCCTGCCTGACGGGATCGATATTGGGGCGGGTCCGTGGTCCGTGCAGCCGCCTGCAGGGCTGCGGGAGGGACGACGGGCCTCTCTTCTCCGCCCCGCAGCCGCGCAGGCGGCTGCACGATGCACAGAACCACCGAGCACCGATGTTAGAGAAACGTGAATTTCTTATTCAACGATTTTCGAGATGGTTGACTGCACGGTCGACAGCCATGAGCGCCTTGATCAGAAGAGATCGGCAACCCGCGCGCACGAGTGCGTGCGGTACAGCATAACTATACAAATGTGGACGCGGTGAATCAGCCACCCCCACATGACTATTTGTGCGTTAACAAATCCAATATCTTTCTGTGTCCCACCCTGAAATGATTTTGATTTTGGCACGACAGCTGCGCGCAAGCACAGAATGTTTTGTGGCGCCAGGAAGCGAACAAAGAATCTTGACGTTAGCGCTGCCAAAAACAATGGCGTTTTCCTATTAGTCTACTCGAGTGTGGCGCGGATTGGGGCGGGGTCGAGCGGGGCGGAGGTATGGTTGTGTCAGGGCGACTGTAGACATGATGTAGGGCTGCCGCTCGGTGCGCCCGAGCAAAGAAAGTTATTACTCTAAAATCCGTACACAACACAGAAACAAAACAGGCGACTGCAGGACAGCGGGGCAGCGGGGATGCGAGTTACAGTTCTAAGCAGGGCAGGCCGGGCTGTTGGTGCAGTCCCGGGTTACTGTGGTTAGTGACTGAGGTAAGTACACAGGTCAATAATACTCTCCCCACTTTGTCATTACGGGTCAAGCTCTGTAACAAAAGGGAGGCCTCTCTCCCTTTCCCAATGTTATCATTAATAAAAACCCATCTTGATTAACAAATATGTATTTCTTTTTGTATTGTACGACACGACAACCGCGAAACTCTCGGCCTTTAAAACGGTGGAAAGGAAAATGTCGTACATTTTTAGGATGTGTGCCCCCACAGTGCTGTGCAGCTGCACTTTGGTGCGGGCTGTAAACCATGATATTAGACACACAACTTGGATTATGTCTTCACACGCACGCAAACAGTCATTGGGTTAGAGAGGCGGCTGAGCTCGCTGCGGGGCACCTTTCTCGTGAGATGAAGTCTGCGGCGGCCTGAGCCTTGCTGGGGGCGGCGGCTCCAGGAGCGCGCCCCGGGATGTCCTGCGGTGTGGAGGCCGGCCGCTGGGCCGGGGCGGGCGTCGGCGCTGGGGCCGGGGCCGGAGCTGGGGCAGGGGCTACG